ACTTGTGAAATTACTGGGTGCGCTTATTTGGTGCAAATAATCTCCATAGCATGCCTAATTACCTCGTGCTTCTAAGGAGGCTTGGTAGGTACGCGAGTTATCGTGACCCGTTTTCGCCGTCTTTACGGTCTGGAATAAAATCCGAACGCATAACACCGATGATCCACATTGTTTGTGAAATCTGACGGATCGCCGCGGTCATCTTTCGCATATATCTGGAGAACGGACCTCGCCAGGTGCTGGCACAACCACGCCGCTGACCGCATCGTCGCTGCATACCGTCATTGAATGACGCTGACCCCTGACACGGGCTTAGGTAACCTGCCTGCCGGGTGCGTGGTGTGGGATGACAGGCTGCGTGAACAAGCGTTATGTGCTACTCTCATGAAATGAAAAAGGGCATGAAGAAACGGGACGAACGGTATCAATGATCTTGCGATATTATCAAAACCGGAGAAGCAAACTTTCAAAATTGTTCCAGAGGCTGCAAAATGTTGTAAAAAAGGTTTACGGTTAATCGAAACAAGATAGGGCATTGGCATCGCCTTCATTGTTCTCGCACGGCCCAAGAGCCCCTAGGTAGTGTTTTAGGAACTGTTCCAAAAAGTTACAGCAGGTTGCCCGAGTGGTTTACAGCTCAACGCTGCAGGGTAGCTCCTTAGTGTCATCTCATCTCCTTGTTCTTCCAAGGCACGAGAGACCCTAAATATTTATAAAAGCAATGGGCAAGAAGTGCACGCAAATGTCTCAAGCGCCCCGCTGCATCGCTACACTTCGTCGGTTCCTTGCCCGTCGGTCACTCAGTGGATGAGTAAGACTGCGTGGACGGCATCGGTATGATTCGTGACCTGGGCGTGAGGATGACGCCGCGTCGGCACGGCGTGTAGCGAGTACACGGCTCCGTGCTCTGTCAAGCTGACGATCGCAGGACCATGATTGGCTCCGCGCTCTGTCAGGCTGATGATCGCAAGACGATGGATTGGTGGTTCGGCTGGACCGTCGGTGAGCACTGAAAGACGCCTTCAGCCTGCTGTCCGTATGACACGCTTTGCCAATGCATCTGTCTGCCCTGCTAGGAACCCCTCTAACATGGCTATTGGCGGCTGTGGGGATGGCCTCTGGGCTCTGACGTGCGCATCTGTCTGCCCTGCTTGGGGACCCCTCGAACATAGCTTATCGGGGGCTGTGAGGAGGCCTCCGGGCTGACGTGGGCATCTGCCCTGCTGCGAGAGCCCCCTCTGACAAAGCGTCGTCAGCTACATGCTCGCCGTGCGCCGTGCTCAGGCCCGCAACCACCGTCAGATCCTGTTGCTGGCAGGCACAGACGAGGGACGTGTTGACCCATGTCGATCTAGCCTTTTGAAATTGCGCAAAAGCCTGACGACCTTCATTGCGTCCGCCACCGCAGTGTTGACGGGCGACTGCCCCGAATGCCAGGTGCGGTTGAAGAGCTGAGGAGGTTTTCTGTTCTTCATCACATCCTGGATTTCACCCTCCAAACCCACCAACCTTTCAACCATCAGAATAGCCATGCACAAGCAGAGGCCAATAACGTTCATAGCTCTTGAAGCAGCTTTGTCACGCGTCAAGGTTAAATGGGGCTATCTGAGTTCGTATCGTGTAGAAAAGCAGACAGAAGTTCAAGAAACTCTGGATGTGAGTAGCAGAGTTCGAAGGTCGGAGTGGAGATGTGGGCCGTAAGTTTACCAGATAATCGCCTGGCGGGAATACTGCTAGGGTAGGTAGGCGAGAATGATGCCACGACGTTGTCGCGCGTCTCGCACCGTACCCATGACAGGATTGCAGGTGGAGTTTCCCCAAAACTGTGCGCGTGCGTTTGTTTTGTGAGGTACATGCGAAGCGGACGACGCCTACTTGCTCGTGACGTATGTTATGGCGCGATGAAGGGCAGTGTTCCAAGATGTCGGACTCAGGCAGACAAGGACATTGCGAGGAGGAAGACGCAAACTCTCCTTAGCTGACATATTGGCACGATTATTGCCTTCAATGCCACCATTACATGGGGATCCGCATGACAAAAACGACAACAATTGGGGAACGTGTGGGGGAAGTTTCCCGGAATTGGACAACAACTGGATTGAAAAGATGTTTAGATATTTGGCGGAGATGTTTCGCGGAGAAAGCGTGAAGCAAATGAAGTGAATGAGTGCAAATGATAGTTTGGCGGTGTTGCTGACTGCACATGACGAAGGATGACATCAATGGTAGGTAATTCAGCAAATAAAACATCGTGCGGGGTGTACCCCCGGCGCTGGGACGGGCACGGGGTAGTTCGGCCCACTCATGGCTGGCACATGCAGTCGGTCCCGGACAAGCGGGGCGTCGTGAGGATGCAGGGCGAGGTGAAATGGAGAATACGTGGGCTGATGCCGGTTAGCTGGTTATGAGTTCACAGTAGAGCAGCTGGCACTCCGCACGAAGAAAACACCCAACCAGACCCCCCCCCCCCCCTCCCCCGATTGATTTTCTTAATGCGATTAACTAGTAAATCCTAACAAAGCCCAACAACGCGGGACCCGCTCCAGAGACGCCAGGGTGCGGAGTGCCACCATGGCCGGGTACAACCCTGGACCCGCTCCAGAGACGCCAGGGTGCGGAGTGCCACCATGGCCGGGTACAACCCTGGACCCGCTCCAGAGACGCCACGGTGCGGAGTGCCACCATGGCCGGGTACAACCCTGGACCCGCTCCAGAGACGCCACGGTGCGGAGTGCCACCATGGCCGGGTGCAACACCGGACGCCGCCTGGCGGCTGCAACGTGGGGGCGCAACACTGCCGCCGCCGGACGGCCACGTCGGCCACGGCTCTTGTCGACAGGTGGCGGTTGTGCCCCCCCCCCCCCCAAATCGCGTTCTAAGCTGAACGGAGCCGCCATGGAACTGGGTCCCAGATACTCTTTCAGTAAAGGTCCATCGAAATGCATCCCGCTCGTCTTTGTCTTTACTTGTTCAACTCGAAATTTACATTACTCTAGCAAAACATGCGTACAATCTTGAATAGTGACCTCGAGTTAACGACTTTCAATATTTCAGCCAACATGTCCAACGGAGACCAGTGTAGGTCCGAGATGTGCAGTCATATGGGGCCCGTCTAGGCTGCCTACCTCGGTCCCATTTGGGTATGCTACGGGCGACCCCTTGGGTCCGACATGGACAGTCCATCTAGGGGCTGGACCCACGTTGGGCTTAATTGAGACACACATAGGGCTTGCCAGAGGGTGATGGTTCAATGGCGTTGTAGTGCGGTCATTGGTTGCATTGGCAGCACTTGATGTTTCAAGCTGGGCTTATGTCCACGAATGACTGGCTGCCTGTTTCGCAGCCAGAACACTAAGGAGATAGCCTGATTAGCAATTTTGCACTAGTTACGAGCTGGAGCGTGTTCAAGAACGGATCGTATTCCTTATCAACTGCAGACAGTGCAAACTCTTTCCCACGTTCCCATCGTTCAAAGCTTGTACAGGCAGGTTTGACTTGTTCATGGATCTAGAAGCACGCAAGCGAGCTAAAAAGCTGGTATTAGTTCGCGAAAATCTGGCGAAGGCATTCAAACACCGTGTTTACAGTCCGAAAGTGATAACGACGATCCGGTCATTCACTGTCCTGAAATTGTCCACACTGAGTGTGGCTTTTGCCTTTCGAGCAGTGAGGGTTCTTTCACGCCGAGTGCGCATGTTCCACTAAGGATCTTGCGAAATTTCTATTAAGGGGTGTCAATTTTTGTTAATTATTGGGGGAAGGGGGCGAACCGAATGCTCGACAGCCAACCTGTCCCATTTCTCTCACCAAATTCAACCCGCTTTGTTTCAATTAAACGCAATCTGTGTTTTAATATTAATATAATTTAGAAGTCTTTAATTTAAGCAGCATAAAAGTCTTGAAGGGTTGGATCCAGCGAGCAGGCACTGCACGCACGCGTCTCTTCCGATCGGCACGTGAAGGCGCCCCTTTAGAGGCCACCTTAGGGCGCCGATGGCGCTCTGCTATGACGGTCATGGGAGGCGGCACGCGTTTTGGTTGTGGGGGATGGGGACGGGGTCAGCCATGAAGGACTTACGCCATCCCATATTCCAGAGCTTTTCATTTCAACCTCACAAACCATTGCGTGTCTTATGGCGCTAAGCGAATGGTGCGAAACATGGTGCGAAATGGTGGTCTATGGTGCGAAACACCATTACGCAGAAAGCTCAAAGGAGGTTGTCTTTGGGTTGCGATCATCTTTTACCCACGTTTTTTTGTAGCACTCCGACCAAAAATATTGCGGGGGGCCAAGCCAACGTTGGGGGGGGGGGGGAGGGGGCAACCGAGCATTGGGGGGAGGGAGGGGCAGGGCCTTCACGAGAGTACAAATCAACACCCGTGTTTCGATTCATCCCATTTCTAAAGGCAAGACAATGGGTTTTTGTGCCTGACGTGGCATCAAGCTGCAGAGCAGGGCCCTTTGAAGCACTAGCATTCAAATTATCCAGATTGCCCTCTTGTGAGCGCAAGGCTTTCTTGCAACATCGCGGACTGCAATCATCAACAATATTTGCAATTCGACGTCGTATAAGTGCGTCTTGTACACTGAAAGTTGAAGGTTGACAGCTCAGCAACTTTGAACTCATGTTGCCAAAAAAAATCCAGGAGCTAAAAGCTTTTTTTGTCGCGCACAATTTTCAACCGGAGGCAGGGGTTTCAAAAATTCTTCAAAATGCGAGCAGCAGCCCGCATGGCGCCGAATTGCGTTATTAAAACCTTACTTCATTCTCTATTTTCAACAATCTTTCCTTGTTGTCAGAATTTGTTTTAATAAACCTATCATTACACGCTATGCTTATAAGAGAGGCAATGTCAGGGGCCGAGAGGCGAAAGCAACAAATCAGAACCAAGAACTTCCTTATTTGAGCTCAGCATCAGCCTACAGCGAAGGATAGCAAACAGAACCCAGTGCGCCGCGCAAGTATTGCCTATCGTGCCATTCGCCCCGTGAAACGCCATTTTGTGGATGGGATTTTGGATGCGCGTGGCCGCGTGCTATTGAGAGCGCTAGGTTCGGGTAACTGTATTTTTGCGTGGCCTGAACTGCTGTGCGTTTGTACGAGGATCTGATCTGAACAGTACAAACGGCTCGAATCAAGGTTTGCTGAGGCGCTCGTGCGAGGTAAAGTATACCGTTCTGTATTCCTGCTCCTATGCCGATGTTCATTGCTTGTTCAGGATGCGATTAATTTTGTTAGCTATCTTTCACATAAAATTATTACCTTTGGGGAGTGATACAGGTGGACAGAGTTGAAAGCTTGTTGTTTATGACACTAATCTTTGGAAAGCCAAGCGTGGTAAAGCCTTTGGCTGGATTCCAATAAAGGCACATGCTGAGCATGTCCGGCATGGCAATGCCATACAATTACTCTTTCTGAATGTGTGGTGACAGTTTCAGTGCATGCTAGGTGTACATCTGAATTCACTCAGGTTGGTGCATGGGATAAGAAGTTTGCATCAGGGTGCAAAGAAGTTTGGCATCCCCAGACCTATCATCTCAAGGCATGAAGCAGACTGTTTGCAGTCAATAAGACTGTTCTCTATAGCACACATTGAGGAGATGCTCATTGAATGACTGAAGACATGCACTGAGTGGGGCTTTTCCATGGACTGCTGGGACTCACAACATGTGCAGAATCTAACATGGCTTAGGTGATAATGTTTTCAAAAAGAACAATGTCAGGTCATGACTGGGTTGTAGAATTCCTGACATGATATAGAGGTCATCCCAGATCTGCATACATGATTTCAGATTTGAACACAGACCATTTCAGGTCTTGCATATGGCAGAACAGTTAAGTAGGCAAGGGCCTCAGGATCTCCAGATATTACCAACTTATTTGGCAGTCTTATTGGCCTGTGAAGGAGCCTATTGGTGCTTGGCCATCTATTGGCCCAGCTTCATGAAGTTTGATGGGATAAGTCTTGCTGATTATCCTGGTAAGACAAAGATCATTGCAAGAATAGGTTGCGAGTACCCTGAACATGCCATGAACAGCAACAAATTAGTAGTTTTGCTGATGCACACAGGATGTCCCTGTGTTGATGTCCCTGTCCCACATCCTGTCCCAGGATGTCCCCCCCCCCCATATGTTGTGCACAAGGCCCAGTACATGGATGGTGTGTGGACATTGAGGGGTCCAAGAGGCAGGTGCACAAGGATCCAGGGAGCATAGGTACATGATGAAGAGCATTCTGGAGATCAAAGGGCTGAAATGAGAAGTATGGTTAAATTAGTCAAAGAACTAAGGCAATATGAGTAGTTATGGGTACTGTAATCATGGACATGTTCTTGTGATTGACAGAAGAGATTGTATTCTTCCATCTGAGACTATTTTTACCTATCATTTTTCTTGGCAGGACTCACTACATATTTTTTGTGTTAGGGTTGCATTGATCCTGATATGGAATATGCAGAAGAGACATTGAATGGGTCGATATTGGCTGATTTCGTACTGTTCAATTTTCTTAAAACACCATGTCTCCATTCACACCCATCTTAAAGGAGTTCAAGCATGATGTGGAAAACAAGAATGTGCTGATGTGCAGAAAAAAGCCTAAAGGTGCTCCTAAATGTCCTTCTGCAGTGTTAAGGTACACTAAACAAAATTACACAAATATTGGGAGCCTACTTTTCATCCCTTTTATAGTCAGATGTGAACAGCACCAACAACCTTATAAAATGGCCAAAAGGTAGAGACTTAGTGATGGTACATTTTGAGTTACTGAGCACAAATTGTCCAAATTCTCCTGTAACACACCCTTTTACAATAGTCTTACCTGATCAGGGTGGGATCTTTTTTTTTTTTTTTGCTGGTGGCATAGTACAAAATTTTTTGTGGTCAGAGTACAAACTTGCCTGCAAGCAGATGTCTGTCTAATGTGGAATGAGTGTCTGCACAATGGGCCTTGCTTGGAGTACATGACACACTGCCTTAAATCGTCAACATTTTCCCGTTTTTTTCTGGCAAAAATTGGTGTCAGCATGCAATTTTGCATTTCATTGGAACAGAGCACTTCTTGTGAGGGCACCATACTGATCCCATCCATATGCCTGTAGTGCTACTAACTTGCCTAAACACAAGAAGATTGATTAAGGGTATGTGTTGATAAGAAATATACAGTTAGAGAGGTTGACAACAAAATGTTATGCATATGCATTCACAGGTGCATCATGCAAAGCTCAGTTACATATCATTACCTATCTACATGCAAACTTACACAATATCAAAATGATAAATCAGGTGCATCCTCTGCTCCTCTGCTGAGTGACAACTGAATTGTGGCCAACTACTGTACATGACACCCTGGTTTTTTAATGAGTCCTAGGCAGCTGCAACTGACTATGAAAGCCTTATGCATGTGACATTACTAACATGTAGTCCTTGTGGCCTTTACAGAATTAATATAAATGTACCAAAAGTGTTTCTCTTCCTATCCTTTTCTTTGCTGCTCTTCTCCCCTTTCAGTTCCTCCCCTGCTCTTCCTGTCACTCTTCTCCTTCCACTCCTCCACTTCTGCTTCTCCTCTCTTCCTGCATGTCTTGTTATCCCTCTCCTCTTCTCCAAGTTCCCTTTGATCCTATGCAGGGAAAATTTTAATAGTGGCACTGCAGGACCTTATTCCAGACAGCAAGGAACATGGCAGCATTGCCACCTGTCAGGTTACAGCAATTATAACCACAGGCTGAAAAGAGGCCAGTCTCATATTTGATCCCATGTGGGAAACCCAAGCCTAGCATTAATGTTGTATATAGATACCTTAGTACCTACATACCTACCCACCATGCTGTAGGTAGAGCAGGTTATACCAAGGTGATTCTGCACCAGCCTGCAGCGGTAAACATTTATAGATCAGCCCCCAGGCATTTATTTACCTTTTTGGAATGACTTAATAGCGGCCCAAAACTAAATCCCAAGTAACTTTAGGAGTACGGATACATGCTGTATGAAAAGTGAAGACAACCAATTCCACTTTGCCTCACTGAATACCTCAAACTCGCAACTACGATGCACATAATCCCAAGCAGCTACACTCACCCGCTGGACTTCTCACTCCCACCACATCAAGACAAACAACCAAACCATGCCCAGGAGTTCTGGCACATTCTCAGACATTGTGATGGCATTCTAGCACTCATCAGTGGGCCAACCAAGTACAAGTACCATGGGTCGTTCCTGAAATGACAGGCTGTGATGAATAGTCCAAGAAAAGTCATTTATGCAGTTGCACCAACACAAATTGTTAAGTTTGTGGTAGAAAAATCATAGAGCCTTACAGCCATGCATTTCAAGTTGTTATTTTCCACCTACAAATATATATTATCTTCTGGTGGCACAAGACAATGCCGAGATGATGCAGTACCTGAACTACAAATCGATAGATATTTCTCATTCTAAGGCATGTCATGTCATTTCAACACCCTGTGTGGAAGGGCCGTGTCTGGGCAATACCAAAACATGTAAAATTTTCAATTAAATCTGGCTAACTTTGCTAAAAACTCACTGTTCTCCGGCTTGTACTCCGGCTTGTTCTCCCCGGGTCTCCTCATGGGCCCCATTGTGAGAAGGGCAACCAAGTACTGCGATTTTTTCCCACCTGGGTTATGGACCATCTCTATCTTACAGGTATAGGTACTGGTTGAGCCTGGAGACGTGATACCGTTGTTAAATAAGTAAGATATCCTCGAATCTTCAAAGACTGGCATTTACCGATTTCTGAAAAGTGGTTGACAGTACTATCATTTATACAATAGTAATAAGTTTTGGAACGCTGCATGCCACAAACTCCCATTTTGGGAACGTAATTTCTGATGATATTTAAGAACCCAAAAGAAGCCGTTACCACCAAAAGTGCCGCCCTCAAACGTGATGTTTGGATGTCAGTTTGATGTCATGATTCTATCTTTAAAGTGCCATTATATGGTGTGTTTGAATGCTATGATTTTCAATTTAATTGCAAGTTGGATGGTGATTGGTGGCTGGTATGGCAGGAGCAGGAATGAAACAAGCACTTTGAAAAGGATGTGCGATGCTGCAATATTTTGGAATTTTCCCACCACACCGTTTGCAAGATGCACGTCCTTTGGTAAAATCAGCTAACATGTTTTCTTAATATGATGTAAGTTAAGAGCATAGTTGGCATCCTGGACTTCTTGCTCTGCGAATCTTGGAAGGATCTATTTGAAATAGATGAGCCATCGGTGATTTTGGTGCTGCTAAGTGGTTTTCTAGGTCGAACGAATATTGTTGTAGGTGTCTGTTGCGACGCGGACCTTCGCTGCTCGAAAATGCACTCGTCAGTTGCAGGAGGCTGGGCTGCCGTTGGTTTCGGGTACGGGAGGCGATGGGTTCGTCGCGTGGTGGGAGCCAGAGCCGTGATGTTTGTCCGTTTCTTGAAAGGTATCGGTAGGTGTGTGCGTCGTGGAGAATGCGGTCTTACTTAGGTGCGCCATATATTTTCCCCACAGGTAATGACATGCGAGGTATGTGGCGGTGGTAGGTACTTACAACAAGCACATTTCATATTTCAGTTTATTTCAGTTCCACAGAAGTAACTCAGCATGAGTTGTCATCACCATTCAGGAGTTGCATAGGCTTGTACAAGTGCATCTAAACCATGTAATACAATGATGAAGGACATTGACATGAATGCCCTGGATTGGCCAGCTCCTGCAGGATTGCAGATGCTTGCTTCCATTTCTTGGTGCTCCATATGTTTGGTCCCTGGAAATCAAATAAAAGTTATAACTCACTTTATGAAAGCAAAGTTCATGCACCCTCCTGGCTAGCAAGAAAGCAAAACTGTCTGCCTTGGTACTTATACTCAGGCTCATACACTTGCACTGGTGTCTTTGCTTTGTGGGGCAGACTGCAACATTTGTCTGGAGCACGAAAATTGTCATTCTTTCCAGTCAAGAGCCTGGAGCACAAAATTTCCTGGTGCCATATCCACCAGAAAATGGAGGTTTTTCCCATGCTGCTGACCCAACCCAACCCTAATCCTACACTAGTTCCTACACTTACTTCTGCATCTAGCCGTACACTTATTCCTCTATTACCCCCCCCCCCCCCCCCCTACTCCTTGAACTTGACCTATACTGTCATTGCAGTGGTTGCAGTAAGAACATGATTGGCCATTAGCCAATCATAGCCAATTGTGATATTGGTGATGTGATAACAACATGTGGTAATATAACAGGGTGATGATATAGCCAGAAAATAGGGTTACACTTATGAATGGCCAAGGGCAAAAAACATTGCTGTGTGTAGCAAGGGATGGGAGGAGATATAACAGAAGGAACAGGATAGGACTGACCAGGACCAGACCTTGTCCATCTGGTTTCATGTGGTCACATCTTTTCCTGCTTGGTTCCTCCTGGTCCTCCCCAGTACAACCAGGTCCTGCCTAGTGCCATTGAGTTTTGCCAGTCCTGTCTGTGGTGTGGTGTGGTCTCATTTGGTTTCATTCAGTCTTGTCCCATCAAGTTTCATCCAATCTCATCTGTTCCCATCTGGTTCCATTCAGTACCATCCTGTCACATCAGGCCCTGTGCAGCACCATCCAGTCCCATGCCACCAAGTCCGGTCCAGACCCGTCTCATCCAATCTTGCCATGTTCCTTTCTGGACTCACCACACTCCATCTGGCACCATCCAATTCCTAGATATAACATGAAGTTCTTTCAGCAAAGGCAATTTGATGTTGACATTGAAAAGTTCCTGTTTTGACTTCTGCAAGCTCTGGTATAGTTTTGGTGGTACCTCACACCTGTAGACAGTGCATGTCTTCATTGACAGGTCTTTGCAGCAATATAAAGGAAAATGATAATTTAAATAAACTCCCCCAGCATAGTTGTGTTACATGGCAGAGACACTGTCAGGAAGCTTTTAACAACATTGATCTTGCTTAAAGTCTGTTGGCAGGGAGCAGTGTTCAGGGCAGCTTTGGCCTTAATGGGAGGATACCTACAGCATGTTGTTAACCTCTACAGTTCTCAGTTTTGTTCTGTTTTTGAATGATTTTGATTCTGTATGGAGAATTGTGGAGGCAGTTGCCAGCCAGTGCTCAATGGAATCTATGAGCAAATGGTATTGATATATAAAGGCTGATTTGTGCTGCTTATTGAAGATGTGAGGAGAGGTTCACAAGTAACTTTATTGAATATCCAAGTTTCACAGGGGTGCAGGATGACACCATGCTGTGGCAGTCATTAGAAATATAAGCTGGGAATTTGATAAGATTATACTGTACTCAGCCTCATTGTAGAATACACAAATATGGGAATGTAAGGAGATATAGAATGAAAGATCAAAAAGCTTTTCAAGCATGGGTTTGATGCAGGACAAAGCTCAGACCTATGGACCCAGATCTGAATGACACCTGACCTTCACAGCTCTCCGGTGCTCTCATCAGACAGTTAAGTGCCCTGCCTGCTCCTGGTCGGTGGAGTGGGGCCGGCGGGTGACAGCCGCCTCCGCTGCCAGCAGGACCCAGCCCAGCCCGCTGCCACCATGCCGGTCAAGTCGGGCACAGTGAAGATATTCCTGGGGAACCTGAGCGACGCCGCCACCCCGGACACCATCCGGCCGCTGTTCGAGGCGTACGGCAAGGTCGTGGAAGCTGACGTTATTAAAAACTATGGCTTTGTGGTGAGTGGTAGGGGTGGCATGGGATCGAGCCATCAGGAATGCCACCCTCCCCAGTCTTCTGGCTGGGGGGTGCCGTGTAGTTGACCCAGGGATCGCTTCCAGCTGTAATTTATGTTTCATAAGGAATAGGTTTATATTGCATAGGAAGCACAATGAAGCTAACAATAGGTAATAGCACAATCATTAAAATGTATCCAGATTCTTGGCCAGTTACTCTGAAATCTGCAAGTAGTGGTATTAAAAACAGCTACTATGAAATCTGCAAGTAACAGTGGTGAAAATTGATGTGAAACTGGAAGAGGGTTTTTTTCCAAAATTGCTTGCCAGTGTCAGGTCTTTCTACCCTAGGATTGTTTCTGGATGTTCCTCCTATCCTTCTATGGGGTTTGGTAGCCCAAATAAACCAACCAAAGTTTGTTAGCATTTCTAGAATTTCAGCCAGTGTCTAGATTACTGAAGTAAGCAGCTCACACACGACTTTCAAATAGGCACACCACGCTCGCAGTGCCCTCTGCTCGCCACGCACTCCATTTTAAATGTTGTTGGCTTCCCTGCATGATGGCAAGTGGTGCGGTTTTGGTGGCGCCATGGCGGCTCCACTGCCACGAGAGGAGGTCGGTTACTGAGAGCTGACCTACGTCGGCTCCGCCGTCACGAGGGAAGCTCGGTTACTGAGAGCTGATCTTTGTCGGCTCCGCCGTCACGAGGGGAGCTCGGTTACTGAGAGGTGGCCTATGTCGGCTCCGCTGTCACGAGGGGAGCTCGGCTGCCGAGGGCTGACCGGGTACGGTCAGCATCCACCTCACTGCGAGCTGGCTGATGGATTTACGGCCGTCCGATAGCCGATACCGCTCCGTAGCATCAGGGAACGCTCCCTAGCGAACGGCGGACGCGACGCTGGTGGCGGCTGCGGTTGGTAGATGGCAGCACGGGTAGCGTTTTATGAACATTTTGTAGCCTTAACGTGATAACGTAACCGTTAACAGTTAAAAACGTGAATTTCACGCTGACGCGAGGCCATCAGATTCTGCCGAGTGGTCCAAATATATCAGACGCGAAGCACTGAAAGGCTGCGAAAGGACGCCATGTTACGGCCAGTGTGGCTAAAATCTGGTGGTGTCTGCTCTATTAAGGATTTCACGCGGCTCCGTTCGGTGTGACGGACCATCATGCCATGTCGTCTAAACTCTGTCTCCCCCGCGCGCGGCTATCACCTGACCTCCGTGTTATACGGCTTCGCCACGTCGACCTCCGTGTTACACCACCCACCTTGTCGACCTCCATGTTACACCGCCCCGCCGTGTCGTCTGACCTCCGTGTTGCACCGCCGGCCGTATCCTCTTGTTACATCGCCGGCCGTGTCCTCTGACCTCCGTGTTACATCGCCGGCCGTGTCGTCTGACCTCCGTGTTGTACCGCCGGCCGTGTCGTCTGACCTCCATGTTACACCGCCCCGCCGTGTCGTCTGACCTCCGTGTTTCACCGCCCCGCCGTGTCGTCTGACCTCCGTGGTACATCGCCGGTCGTGTCGCTCGACCTACCACCGTGGCCGCCCCCCCACAGCACATGGAGGACGAGGCCGAGGCCAAGCGGGCGATCACCGCTCTGAACGGGAAGGAAGTGTGCGGCAAGTCGATGGTAGTCGAACTGTCAACCGGCCTCAACAAGCGCGGCATGGCCAAGAGGGGCAGGTGAGACACGCGGAGAGTGATCAGACGGGGAGGAGGGGTGTCTGAGTGGGAGGTAGAACTATGGGGGCTGTTGGGCAGGAGTCGGCCCTAGTCGTCGCCGTCGGTCGCTGTCGGGAGTGTGCGGGCGGGTGTGGAGCTTGTGGGAGAGGGTATTAACCTCGAGTAGTGTTGGAAATGAGAGCACAATGTCCATGTCACTGTGGTTGCAGGCCTGTAACCAGTAATCTGCGAAGCTGATTGCGTGGTTTAGAACAGGTCGGGGTCGGACCCCCAATGCCCGTTCTTCGTAAGCCAATGAAAGCGCATTCCTTACCTGTGACGTCACGGCCCAAGCCCATTCCGAACTTGGCCGAGAGGCGAAGTGAGTCGGGTTGTTTACAAGTAAGTCGGCGGTGCTGACATAGCACGCACAGCATCGGTCGGTGTGCTGTGGACGGCCTTGTATTTCGGGCAAATAGGAGGGCCTCGATCTCACGTGGAAATTGGGATCGATAATGACGTATGTAGCCACAGATCGCTTCCCAATGACTCTTATTGGAATAATATTCAAGTACGCCATTGCATAATATATTCCCATGGGTTTGGATCAGCTTCTTTGACTTGTGCCCATATCTTGAATTAAGGTTGTTACTCTTCGGTGCATATAAATGACGTCACCGTAATGGGCGGAGCGTCTGCCTTAAGTTGGTGAGGAACTGGGCCCAGTTGGGTACAGTTGCGACCGCGACGTGTGGTGCTGCACTTGTGAGACTGAAATTAATCCTCTGCTCTCACACCTTAGTCTATAGTAGATCAGCACAGCAGATCGTTCGTAGCTGATCAATTTGGTCCTATTGATCTAAGCATGTCTTGGGACCATCAGTTTAGTCGAAGTAATCAAGCAAGTAAGGCATCACAAGCTCCTGCGGTGTACCGCATGGACATTTGGCGGTGAAGTTCGATAATTAATGACACTTGGCCGCAGCTCAGATGCGGACGTCCGCCGTGTAAATAGTATATCTGCCGCTGGTAAGACCAGGAATGAAGGTTGTGGAACAAGTGATGCCTGTTCAGACTGGATGAGAGAATCCCACGAAAACGGATCCCTGGAATGTGAAGTCTGAGCCGGGAAGAAAACAAGATATTGAATTTATGGTCTTGATTGATAGCGCCTGGTGTAGATACGCACAGCTTAGTTGGACCTTAAATATGGCATGCTTTCTTGAATATTTAAACACTCGATTATATGCTGCAGTCTATCATGTAGTTGCGAGATACAGGCGTCTCGATACACTATTCCAACGCCATGGAAACTAGTGGGCCGTCGCGGCCGGCCGGACATGTCTCGTGCATCTGTCGTCACGTCGTGGGCACGCACATGGGATGGGCGGGCGGCTGGGTCGGGGGCCTCCCCGCGGCCCATCCATGGCCTGTGGACTCGGGGCAAGGTGTGCAGAGGGACCCAGCGTGAGCCGTGGTGCTGGGACTGACGGGGCGGGGCTGCTGTTGGAGAGTCTGGTCAGCGGTGCCGAGAGGGCGGGAGCGTCGCTAGCCTGGCCGGCGGCCGATGTGAGGGCAGGGGGGAGGGGCGTTACCAGCCCGACCAGCGGCCAGGCTGAGGGCGGGGGGGGGGGGGGGGGCGGGCGTTACTCGCCAGGCCGGCGTCCGATGTTTGAGGGAGGGCCGTTACCAGCCTGGTCGGCGGTCGATTGGAGGGGTAGGGGGGAGGGGGTTGCATACCTGGTCGGCGTTTGACGGGGCGGGGGAGGGCACGTCACCAGCCTGGTCTGCGGCCGATGGGCCTGAGGTGGAGGTTGCCGGTCTCTTGGTCACGCTCTCTGGAGGGCGCTGTGCCCAGACCGGTAAAGATCCGTCATTCTGGTGGTGAAGCTGTGACATGGACGTGCGCGCCGAGTTCTCTCTACTTTGTTCGTGTTTGGGTTTTTTGTTCAGTTCCTTCCACCATATGCATTATGTGAAGCTTTTTATCGCCAATCCGGCGGTCGTGCTGTACCTCGGGTCCGGAGTGTTGGCACGCTCTGTGGTATGGAACGCTCCCTTTTTCAATCAGCGATCCTCCCCGTCGCCTTTGACCCGTCTTGACTTGATTGCCGTTGACAGCGCGCCTGCGTTCGTGTCTGCGCCGGAGCCGTGTCGCCTCGGCTGCCGCTGTCCGTAGCGCCCTGTCCCGCCCGCCTCTCGTCCACGACACGCCGGAGTTATGTTTTTATCCGTAACGCTTCAGCGCCGGCGGCAGGTGCAAGATCTTCGTGGGCAATCTGCACAAGGACACCCAGCTGGAGGAGCTCCGCAGCCTGTTTGCCCCGCACGGCACTGTGGTCGAAGCCGACATCATCTCCAACTACGCATTCGTGGTGCGTGTCGCGCGTATGGCAACGCCCTTGCTCTGCGGTCAGCCACGTCTTATGAGGGGGCTGGGGGGGGGGGGGGGGGGGGCAGCTGGGAAAAGCCACTGTGGCCGCCCGGTTTCCGCTGTAAGGAGGTTTCCGTCTCTGGGCGGCGGTTTTCTGTCGGTGTGGTATGTGTCAGCGACCGTATAGCTGGGCAAGCCGCTCGGTCTGGGCGTGACGCCCGGCATCCTCAGCAGGCCGGTGGCGCCGCTGCCGGCCGCTGTCCGCGCCTCCGACCGTAAAGCTGGGCAGGCTGCTCGGTCTGGGCGTGACGCCCGGCATCCTCAGCGGGCCGGTGGCGCCGCTGCCGGCCGCTGTCCGCGCCTCCGACCGTAGAGCTGGGCAAGCCGCTCGGTCTGGGCGTGACGCCCGGTATCCCCAGCAGGCCGGTGGCGCCGCTGCCGGCCGCTGTCCGCGCCTCCGACCGTAAAGCTGGGCAAGCCGCTCGGTCTGGGCGTGACGCCCGGCATCCTCAGCAGGCCGGTGGCGCCGCTGCCGACCGCTGTCCGCGCCTCCGACCGTAAAGCTGGGCAGGCCGCTCGGTCTGGGCGTGACGCCCGGCATCCTCAACAGGCCGGTGGCGCCGCTGCCGGCCGCTGTCCGCGCCTCCGGCCGTAGGGCTGGGCAAGTCGCTCGGTCTGGGCGTGACGCCCGGCATCCTCAACAGGCCGGTGGCGCCGCTGCCGGCCGCTGTCCGCGCCTCCGACCGTCGCTGTCGACCAACGCGGTCGTCTCGGTAGCGTCCCGTGCGCGCGTAACTGACCTGGACCGGTGACCCTCGGCGACAGCACATGGAGGGCGAGGAGCAGGCGCAGGCGGCCATTGACGCCCTCAACGGCTACCAGCTGCACGGCCAGGACATCCGCGTGCAGATGTCCACCAGCAGCGTGCGCCAGGTGCCCGGCATGGACAAGCTGGACATCTGCTACCGCTGCGGCGTGCAGGGACACTGGAGCAAGGACTGCGGACGGTGAGTGGCCGTGGCGGGCGGCGCCTGGCGGCGGCGATGGGACGTGGATGGGTGTGTGCGACGCCGCTGGGCCTGTGTATGTGCGACGCCGCTCGGCCTGTGTGCTGCGGCTGTGGCGCGTCCGGCCCGGCGCTCGGATTCGGCCCGCAGACGACCGCCGGATCGGCGGGCTGCCGTGGCGCGCCCCGCGGCTCCAGGAGAGGTGCGCTCTGGCAGTGCGGCAGTGTCCAGTGCCGCGGGATTGGACCGGTCGGCCGTCGATGGCCTGTACAGTGGCCGTCCCTGCAGTCGGCGGGCTGGCGTGCCGTACTCGCCGCCGAGACGCGTATATGACCAACTACCGTATGGTAATGTTGACCGGGACGCCTCGTTCAGCGTTCCCTCGCGCCCTGGTTAGACCGGCACACCACGTCCCCCGGACGTTACCCCCACTGGCGGCCGCGCTGCCCTGGCCAGCAGACCTCGGCCGCCCGTGTAACCCGTCCCGCTCGCCGACAGGCCCCCGGCGACAGGTTACGCGGGCGCATACGCCGGCTACGCGGCGCCGGCTGCGGCGACGCACGACTCGTGGGGCGGCTACCAGGCGGCGGCGGCGGCGCGCGAGCGGGCCCGCTATGCGCCGTACCCAGCGTACGGACCGGCACCGCCCGCCTACCGGCGTGACCCCTACTATGACGTCACGCCGCGCCGCGACCCCTACTATGACGTCGGCGTGAGTACGGGGGCGGAGAGGGGGACCGCATCCGAACTCGGGCCGGTTTTTGTAGTCGTAGTCATTGCCATGGGCATTCAGTAGAGTTCTTCTACACGGTCGTTATTACGAATTGGTCAGTGTGTGAACACAACGCTGCAAAACACAAGACGAAGCTCCACGAAATGAAACAGCAAACGCGAAAACAAGACGCTGATGCCACCCAAAACGCTCCCCATGAACACACATACAACTAACCCCCAGGCGCAGCGCGACGACATCACGCGCTGCGGTTCCGGACGGCCGGCCCCGCAGCTCTGGTGGTACATGTCGAGGCAGGCTGTGTGTGCAAGCTCCCGCTCAGATTTTGGACCGTCCACACCTGGGCTTTGGGTCTCGGATTGCCCATGGGGCGTGTGGAGGGAGCGAACTGGAGGGCGGGCATGGCCATGTCTTGGAGCTGGGAGGAGGCTGTGCCGGCACCGAGGGGGCTCGTGAGGAGAGCATCGTTTGTGGCCGTGCAACGTTGTGGCGGACATGTGCCTCAGAAGTTTCCACAACTGGGGTCCCACGTCGCCACCATCCAATAACGTCATCACCGCCGTGTCCGCTACCCGACGAGCAGCAAATCTCGTCCACCAAGTTGGAAGTTTGCCAAAGCAAGCAATCGAGACCTCGAGCGGTGTCCAGTAACGCGGCAAGCGGCGTCCAGTAAGGCGGCGAGCGGCGTTCAATAAGGCGGCAAGCGACGCCCAGTAAGGCGGCCGGCGATAAGGCGGCGAGCGGCGTCCAGTAAGGCGGCAAGCGGCGTCCACGTCCAGTAAGGCGGCAAGCGGCGTCCAGTAAGGCGGCGAGCGGCGTGTGTCGCATGCGGGCCGAATCAAGAGAGAGCTATCTGTCGCGCTGGTCCAGGTAGCTCTCTCTTGATTCGCCCCACGGCGACGCCAGCAGCCGGGCCGTCAGCAGCGCCGGTCGGCCTGCGGTCACCGACGCGCCCCGGTTGGCCAGACTAGCACCGACCCGCGGTCACCGACGCGCCCCGGTCGGCCAGACTAGCACCGACCCGCGGTCACCGACGCGCCCCGGTCGGCCAGACTAGCACCGATCCGCGGTCACCGACGCGCCCCGGTCGGCCAGACTAGCACCGACCCGCGGTCACCGACGCGCCCCGGCCGGTCAGACTAGCACCGACCCGCGGACACCGACGCGCCCCGGTCGGCCAGACTAGCACCGACCCACGGTCACCGACGCGCCCCGGTCGGCCGGACTCGCACCGATCCGCTGTCACCGACGCGCCCCGGTCGGCCAGACTAGCACCGATCCGCGGTCACCGACGCGCCCCGGTCGGCCAGACTAGCACCGACCCACGGTCACCGACGCGCCCCGGTCGGCCGGACTAGCACCGATCCGCTGTCACCGACTGCGCCCCGGTCGGCCAGACTAGCACCGATCCGCGGTTACCGACGCGCCTCGGTCGGCCAGACTAGCACCGATCCGCGGTCACCGACGCGCCCCGGTTGGCCAGACTAGCACCGATCCGCGGTCACCGACGCGCCCCGGTCGGCCAGACTAGCACCGACCCGCGGTCCAGGCGCCACCGCCGGCGCACGTCCGCCGGTCACGAACGGCCGGCTGGCGGCGACGCGAATCAAGAGAGAGCTATCTGCCGGCTGTGGACTGGTAGCTCTCTCTTGATTCGCTCCGAGGCTGGGCAGATCCATGGCTCCCAGCTGGATGGCCACGAACAACAAGCGGGCTCCAGAGCACCGGCTAGGCGCGACAGTGGATAGTCCCATAGCACAGCGTTTTCCCTGTTTGCTTGTTTTGTTAGACTATTCGTGCCATCTTATGATGATATGAATCATGTAGTGTTGAAGATCAATCACATAAAAATGTTGGAGACAAACACGAGGCGACACAGGCACCGCAGACCGATGAAAGCTCCACCATGGCCGTCTCGGTAAGCCCCATCCCAGCGCTTGCCTGTCACGGATGTCACTGGCTTAGCTAGGTACGACCGGTGGTGTGACGCAGTCAGCCACCAGCCTTCCCTCCCCCCCCCCCCCCCTCCCTAGCACACACCGCTGCTGGCGCAGTGATCTCACCGTCTGCAGTTGGCTGGGGTGCGGTTTGCACTATGTTTGCATGATGTTGGTTTATCAACCTGGGGTTCCCCGCAGCATCCCCTTGCTCCCGTCCCGCTTGCAGCGGGGGGGGGGGGGGGGGGCTGAGCTAGCCGATCTGGGCTGAAGCGTGCTACTGGTTGAACAGATTCTCTCTCTCTCTCTCTCTCTCTCCTCTCTCTCTCTCCTCTCTCTCTCTCTCTCTCTCTCTCTCTCTCTCTCTCTCTCTCCTCTCTCCTCTCTCTCTCTCTCCTCTCTCTTCTCTCTCTCTCTCTCTCTCTCTTCCTCTCTCTCTCTCTCTCTCTCTCTCTCTCTCTCTCTCTCTTCTCTCCTCTCTCTCTCTCTCCTCTCTCTCTCTCTACTCTCTCTATCTCTCTCTCTCTCTCTCTCTCTCTCTCTCTCTCTCTCTCTCTCTCTCTCTCTCTCTCTCTCTCTCTCTCTCTCTCTCTCTCTCTCTCTCTCTCTCTCTCCTCTCTCTCTCTCTCTTCTCTCTCTCTCTCTCTCTCTCTCTCTCTCTCTCTCTCTCTCTCTCTCTCTCTCTCTCTCTCTCTCTCTCTCTCTCTCTCTCTCTCTCTCTCTCTCTCTCTCTCTCTCTCTCTCTCTCTCTCTCTCTCTCTCTCTCTCTCGCGGGTGGGCGGTGCACTTGACGCTGTTGGTTTATCAACCGGACTCGCTGGACCACCCACGGATCGCCGGTATCGAGCGGCGGGTCGCCTGTATCGACCATGGGGCCTCAGGTCGTCTGGGCTGACACTGCCTTGAAGCCGTTTGTGACGCGGCAGGCGCCGGCCTCATGCGCTCCGCTGGGTCAGCGGTGACTGGACGCGGTCTCCCCATTGGCCCCGGACGTGCTGGCGACATCGCTTACTGGGGTTAGGATCGTATGCATGACGTCATCAGTTGGGTAACCTCGGCTCCGGCGCGGCGTCGGGGAATCCCGGCTGCATGAATCGTGGGTGACATTTTCATTCCCTCGCGCGGTATCTGAACATGGGAACGGATGACCCAATGGGTGTTGTTGCCCAGGGGAGCCGATGGTGTTGAAGATCCTGCCATTTGCGTCACGACCCAGGTTGTGGTGAGCCGAGCTTGACCTGGTAACCCAGTTCACAGCCACAGCCAACACAGATGGCAAGACATGGCCTGATCTTATTGGTCGCGGTCGACGGCTGGGATTACAGTCAACTGTCGCATTTTCCCTGCAACTCTTGCATATCTTATCGTTGACGTGCCCTAGAAGCATGTTAGCATCAAGCCTTTCTACTTCGGCGACTCGTTTGATGCGTGTTTCGGCGGCATTGTCGCCGTGCGTGATTTCGTCGACGCCGTCAGCTGTAAGATATCTGGAACAGTGTACACGACCAGCCCATGATCTCTGGGCCCGACCGCCCGAATCATGAACCAACAGGTCGCGTCTCGTCTGGATGTCCTCGATTGACTGGATCCCATGGAGGGCGAACAGACCGCAGCCGGCGCGGGCCGCTGGTGGCGGCCGGCCGTTGGACGCGCCACCCGTGCGGCGCCACCGTCCCGGGGCGGCTGAGCGCGCTGTCCCGTGCTGGCGCGGCGGGGGCGGCGCCACGCTAGCCAACACTGCCGGCAGCTGCACAGTGTGACGGGATCAATGTTCAGCGAGTGTGAACCCTGTCACGTAATCCAAGGAATGGGTTGCGAAAAATGGAAAGAAAGCGTTGCCTCAGCTCTAGAGCACGCTTGTATCGCGCAGCTGTTATTCTTGTAATGCGTAGCAATGTACGCAGCACGTCACATGGGTTGGGGGGAGGGGGCACAACTGAAAAATGACCGCTGAAATTGAGTGCAATTTCGTGCATGTAGTAAAGCAACCCGCATGTACGCAACCATATGACTTCTGCTTGTGCACACGGAACTTTGTGCTTCGTGACCTAGTCGCGCATAGGTTAATGCATGCTATTAGGTGGGTACTGGGAGGGGGGCGGTGCGCCCGGGGGGTTACGACGTGCGTACGCATCCGCTATTACATCCCATATGAATCCGTCGGCCGGCCCCGTGCCCCATCGTTTGTGGCGACGCCGGTTCGAACCCCACCGCAGTCACCTTTTCACGTCTTGGCGCTGCAGGGCTACTACGAGGCGGCACGCGCCGTGCCGCAGGAGTACTACGACGAGTACGACCTGTACGACCGGCGTGGGGCGGTGGCACGTCGCGCGGCGCCGCTGCCGGCCACGCATGACCCGTACGACCCGTACGGTCTGGCGCGACGGCCGGCCACCGAGCAGCTGTACGACCGGCGGGCCACCGCCTACAGGTCAGTGCTGGGAGCAGCTGCCCGGGCTGGAGATCCAGCCGGGTAGGGGTCCGGCCCGACGGCACTGGAGAGACAGCCGGGAGGGGAGGGGTCCGGCCCGACGGCACTAGAGACACGGCTGGGGGAAGGGGTCCGGCCCTACGGCACTGGAGACACGGCTGGGGGAGGAGTCCGGCCCGACGCCACTGGAGAGACAGCCGGGAGGGGAGGGGTCCGGCCCGACGGCACTGGAGACACGGCTGGGGGAAGGGGTCCGGCCCTACGGCACTGGAGAGACGGCTGGGAGAGGAGGGGTCCGGCCCGACGGCACTGGAGACACGGCTGGGAGGGTAGGGGTCCGGCCCGACGGCACTGGAGACACGGCTGGGAGAGAAGGGGTCCGGCCCGACGGCACTGGAGACACGGCTGGGAGAGAAGGGGTCCGACCCGACGGCACTGGAGACGACTGGGAGGGGCGACCCAACACGACGGGTGGTGGGCACGACCGCTCGTCGCTCGCACTGGGCAGTGTCGCTGCCCGGTCGGCGTGCCTGTCAGCCGCGAGATAGTGGCGTCCTTCCGGCGACGGCGGCCCCTGCGGTCGGCGACCGCCCCGGGAGGCGGCGAGAGGGCCGGCGGGCGGACGCCTGATGCTGAGCGGTCGCGGGCCGCCACACGGAGTATATACATTTGTAAAGCGGGCGTCCGGTGACGAGAGGTCGCACTGCCAGCGAAGTCACTGGTGAGCGCGGCGGCGTCTGTGCGTGCTGACGTCCTCTTGCAGCGACGCCGTGCGTGGCCCGGCCGTCGGGGCTTAGGTGAGAGGCGGCGCGGGCCGCGCCCCGCCCCGCCCACGGCGGACCCGCCCCCCCCCCCCTCCCCCCTTCTTCCCCAACACAGGAGCTTATCGCGAGAGGGTTCGGCGCGCTCCCCTCCCTCCGTCGCCGCCGCGGAGCTGCCCTGTCATGTCGGGTCACCGATCTTGCCGAAGCGCTCTTAGTGGAGCTTTGTTGAAACGTTCGGCACTAAGCATTACAAATACAGCATTGCAATAAACCTCGCGAATGTTTTTTCAGTTACACGGGCATTAAAAGCACGGTGCACGAGGTCAACTCATGTCGAAAACATAGCGAAGATGCTACCCCTGTCAAAGCCAGTTGCAATGCAATGCATTTATAAAATGTTTTCAAATGGTGTGGGCGTCGCTGCACTGAACTCCCTTCCCACCCCCACCCCTTTTGGCGGCGCCCGTATCTGCGCGCCTTCTGCCAGCCGGGCCCTGTCCCTCCGGTCACGAGCTCCTAAGCGACAACCACCGGCGGGCGCCGCCGGGCCCCGGCTCCGGCTCCGGCTCCGGCCCCGGCTCCGGCCCCGGCCCCGCGCGCGCGCTGGGCTCGCGGCGCGCGTTCACCCGTGGCCGTGTTGTCCTCAGACCGCCGCCGCCGCCGCCGCCGTCCTCGTCGTCGCGTCACATGTACTAACCGCCGCGCCGGATTCGCCGCCGCCGCGAGCCGCGCCGCTTCTGACGCGCGAAACACCCGCGTGCGCCGAGCTCGTCGTCGCCGTCGTCCGAGTAAGTGGGCCGCGCCGCGCGGCGTCGCGGCGCGCCGGTGTCCGCCGCGAGCGGCCCCCGTCCGTGGAGCGATTCCATTCGTGCCCCGCGTCCACCCCCCGGGGACCGCGTGTGCTTGAGGTTGGTCGTGTTGCCGCTAGATGTCGGTGCGATTTACGGCGTCGCGTGCGCTGGATTGTGGCCGTGTGACCGCCGCGTTTGCTGGCACTTGAGGCGCGGTGACAACGTGTACGTGAGGTTTGTGGTGTCGTCGCTCGATGTCAGGATGGTTGGTTTGGTCGCTGTGGCGCCCCGCGCCCCCCGCATTTTTGGCCGGACCCTTTCGCCGTGTCTATAGGGGCGAGATAAGATATCCCTTCAAGCTACAAATCATAGGCGCTCCGCGCACAGGGTTTTCGTTGAGGCTGGCGAGCTATAAAACCACTGATCGTGGAATACAAACTGGAGAGAAGCGTTTGTGTTTGTGGTGGAAACGAGGCTTGAGAAGGCAGCGGCGGCGCCGGCAGCTGTGACCCGCGGCAGCTGGATGAGAACGCGACGACCGCTGAGGCCGTGCCTGGAAAAGCGTTCGGCCCCAGCTCACGCAGTCCTTTTCAGCACACAGTTCACGAGCGACCGCCATTGTGTCACAGTGCCGGTTTCCCTCCCGCTCTGACTGGACCTGAAACCAGACACTAGGCTTTGTAGCTACAGCACAAGCCATAGCACTTGAAACACAGGAGTTGCGCAGTCAGCACTGCCAAATCTGTCACATAAGCAGTGTTATATGCAAATTTTTACTAGCAGGAAACTGGCTAGCACGAAATCAGTATTTTCTTGTATTGGCCAATGACACTCACAAACTTACCACACTCATCAGTATGCCACCCAGCATCATGTCATCTACTTTGCGCAGCCCAAGAAACACATTACCTAATCCCGCACCAATGCATTTATGAGCAGCCTGCAACAGTGAGCTAAGCTACAGAAATGACTCATGAATGCTACATAGTTAGTGGCAAAAATTGTGTAACTATGTTGTCTTCCCCATCCAATGCATCATCAGTACCTGAGGGCAGCATTGCCATTTAGACTTGGCATGGACTGGCAAGTCAGAATGCAGCTATTTGCTTTCTTGACATACTAGGGTTGAAATACTGCTTTGATATCCTTGCAGTCAACAGCATTGGCTGATATGGACTGATGGCTAGGTGGCACAAACAGCCGTGTTCGCACAGTCCAAAGATCATAACGTGAACCAGCCCCAGAGCTGTCATGACAAAAGCAATCTGGGCTCAAAATTCATAACAAATGATTAATTATAGCAACAGCTCAATTATCCACCTCATGGTTTGCAAAGATATGTGTCACAAAACACCAAGGCAACATATTTACCCACCAGTACAAAAACAGGTAATGATGCGCACTGCAGATGTTCTCTGCACATCATGTGGCATTAGGTTAGGTTTACTTAGTTTATGCACTGTTTTCTTCCACATGAAATGCACAAACCTGGATTTGACAGAGTACTGATGACAGCTAATTTCATCCAGTGCTCACATTTGCTTTCTTGACATTTTGGAACCATCACTGGGCAATTTTGGTCCCATCATTAAAAATAGTTCACATTCTGCACTGACTGCAATGATCTATTACCTATATTTGTTGATCCTTTGCATCATGCAGGAGTTATTGAGTTACCTATCTCACACACATTAAACTGACAAGCAACAAACAGCCTAATTGCATCAAAAACAAATATTCCACCCCCCGCTTCCTTGCCAGTTGGTCTACCAGTGTGACGTAACTTCATATTTCCTTGACAAGCCAGTCACCAATATCCAGCACATCCCTCCTGCCAATAGGTGGTCAACCAAATGTTCAAGTCACAGGAGGAATGTCTGCAAAATCAATCCTGGGGCATTTATGTATTCACCTAATGGAAGAAACTATTGGTACTCCCTGCAAGAATTGTTGAACAGTTGAATTACCTACCTCGTGGCCTGCAGACACCCATCACAAAAAAAGCACCAAGGTGACATATTTAATCACCAGCACAAAAACAGGTGATGATATGCAACACAGACTGTTCTCCATGCAGCATGTGCCATCGTGTTAGGTGTTAGTTTATGCACTGTTTTCCTTGCACATGGAACACACAAACTTGGATTTAGCAGAGTAATGATGACAACTATTTTCATCCAGTGTTCACATTGCTTTCTTGCTGTTTTGACCCCATCATTGGGCGATTTCAGTCCTACCATTAAAAAAGTTCACATTCCGAGCTGAGTGCAATGATCTATATTTGTTCATCCGTCATATCATGCAGCAATTTTAAGCTACCTTTCTCACACAAATTAAACTGACAAGCAACCAGCATCCTAATTTAAGGAACATCTGCAAAAACACTCCTGGGGACTTAAGGTATTAACTTAATGAACGAAACTTGGATGCATTCTCTGCAAGAATTTTGAGCAATCCAAAAATTAAAATGAGAACAAGTCAAAGCTATATAAAACAACCATATTACCTCCATCTGGCTTTTGGAAGCATGGAGCCTGCCCCAGATGTAAACTAATCTAACCTTTAGGCGGAAAGATAGCACCAAACACCGTCGACGCCTGCTGTCTGCATAGATCAAGCGCCTAGCAAGGCTAAATTACGTGAGCATTTCTGTGCTGCTAGCCACTCAAGGCCCTCAATAATAAGAGTAGTTTTAGCAGCATGATGTCAACTTCACCTTCCTTCTCTTTTCCCTTACCATCTTGGACTTGAACCGTCTCGAGCAATAGCTAAAAACCCGTGGAAAAGCGGTAACACCGCACAAAGCTGAAATGGCTATGAACAGAACCGCGTGCGCCAGGCATTTTTCTTTTTTTTTGTTTAGACAGCTGACGGCCGATAATTCGGACGAAATCCCTTCCTGAACGGATGATCCTCTCACGGGAAGGGATTTCCTCCGGCGCACGATTCGAATCAGCGGAACGGCGCGTGAGTACAGTGTATACATGGGCCGGATAGTTCGGATCGAGGACGGGTCCCGGCTTAATTCGAATCACAGCTGCCCATGTAAACAGGGTAAGTAACGGCGGTGTTACGCCACTAAACCCCACAGAGCGCAGCTCCAGGCACTAGTTGACGTAGGCAGCCAGCCCCGCCCCGCAGCTGCACCAGCGGACTCGCTCGGCGATCGATGGCACCGAGCCAACGGCGCAGTGGGGTGACCTACTAACGGCCTGTGGCGGCAGGACCTGCGGCGCGAGGGGAGCGGCGCACCCCTGAACTGGTACGTGTGCCCCGCTCGCTCGCGGCGGAAGCGGCCTTTGTAACGGTAGATGAGAGGGTTCGTGAGGCGATGTACACAGATTGCTCATGTATTTGTGTCAGACGCACCCAAGGGACGGGCGCCTGGCCCCTGCCCCGCCCTATTAGACCCAACATTTGCTCGTGTTTCATCATATGTTGGCTCCCGGAAGAGAGCTGAAGATCGGCGTGATGCGTACTCACTGGGCTCCCCCACCCCCACCCCCATCCCCAGACGCAGCCCCAGCCCACGAAAATTTGGGCCGTGCCCCTGATTCGTTATGTATTCTGTAGGGCTGGCTTTCCCCCAAAAGCAACAGAAGTGCAGTTGGCGCCGGCGTGAAGACCGTAACTGGGCGAGGAAACCTCTCTATGTTTGGCTGGAGAGACCCGGGCACGAGTTCCCGGGGACGCATGCTCGTACCGGCGACGGCGGGCTGAGGAAACCTCTCTATGTTTGGCTGGAGAGACCCGGGCACGAGTTCCCGGCGGGGCATGCTCGTACCGACGACGGTGGCCGTAATTGGCAGCGACCTGACCGCCATCATCCAGGAGTCCTGCTCGCTGCCTCGAAAACGGAATCTCGGTCTGAAACAAGTGCACCGCAAAGCATTTGTTCCCGATTACTGCAATGCACCCAAACCGCTGGAAGAAGCAAAGCTAAGCGCAGCAGCGCACTCGCTCTTGCAGAGGAATGTTCGTCTTTCAAGGCCACTGATTGCGCACACTGCAAGTGGATCGGTCTGAAAAGAGCTCAAGTTATAGGATGCAATTATCTGGTTTGCTCTAGCTGATTATCCAACTGTGTATTTCAAAAACGAAAGGGAGTGTGCAACATTTATATGGGATTTTGAACTAAAATAGTCAACTTGGAGACCTTTCGGTGCTGTTCACAACCCAGCCCTCAAGAGTTAAGCCCCTCTAGTTTCTGAGCTACATGCCCGCGAAAATGGGGAGAGTATTTCGAGTATAGTATTTCCCGGCATTCGTGACGTCATAATA